ATTATCTTCTGGTTCTTCCTAAACTCCCATTTCATTTGCCTCCTTTCTTCATCCACATCTTGTTTCCCCCCTAACTTTCCCTGTTTCCTTCCTTTCCCTCCTCTTATCTTTTTCATTTCCTCCTCTCTATTTCCTTTCCTTGTCTTCCACATCACTCCATCCTTTCTCTTTATTCTTTTCTTGCACTTCTTCTATTCCATTTCTTTTCCTTTTTCTTCCTTTCATTTACTTCTCCATACCTGACTGTCTTCTCATATCCACTGTCTCCATTTCTTTTCCTTTCCTCGCTTTCTTTATATCTCTTCTATCCATCCTTCCCTTTCTTTCTTCCTTTTTATTCATTTCTCCCTCCTTCTTCTCTTTTATTTTGATTCATCCCATTTTATTCAAGCCCATTTCCTCCATCTCTCGTTCTCCTCTTCAGCTCATTCTCTTGTTCATCACTTACTTTTTATGTTCTTTCATCCTGCTCTTCATTTTTATTCACACCCTTCCTCTCTCTCTTTTCCCACCCTTTACCTCCCACACACCTTTCTCTGCTCCGTTTGGATTCCCTCCATCACCGTTCTTTCACTCGTCTCTTGCTCTCCTTTGTTCATCTCTTTCCTCTTCTTCTTCTTTGTTCACTCCCCTCCTCCCGTCTTCTCCTCTCTCCTTTTCCTCCCCCATCCATGCTCTCTCTCTTTCACCATCCTCTCTTTTCTTTTCATGCAGATTTTTCTTGCCTTAGAGCAGATGTGTTTTTATTGATATGATCATGGTTAGTGGTCTCCAGGTGCTCATTAGATCAGCTGTATAACCTCCTGCAGCCCGACACACACAGACACACAAACTGTGGCTACTGCGTCTCTGAGCAGTGAAAGAGAAAAGACAGGAAAAGAGAGGACGACCCGGACAGAGGAGGAGGTTGAGATGATGCAAACGAAAATTTAATAAAAGAAACAAAGAGAGGAAAGGAGGGAATAGAAGAAGGGAAGTTTTAAAAAGAGGTGGGGGATGCATAGCAGAGAAAAAAAGAGGTGGGGGAGGGGGTGTGAGAGCGCCAGAGGCAACGTGAATATTTGAGTCAGTTGCCAAAAGGAGTTGAAACTACCAAGGTGACCTGGGAGGAGTTCCTGAAAAGAGAAAGAGAAATCACTTTGCACAAAAGCTGCCACCAGACCCAGCAGAGCAGCTCTTCTTTTCGGTTTGGCCTCGATTAATGTTTGCTGTTCTTTCAGCACTAAATTAAGTCACAGTACTGAGGTTTTCATTCCATCGCTCCTAACATGTCGCCTTTATGTTTTGTGTCATGGTCACATCATGGAGGACGATGGCGTCGAGCTCTGTGGACGTGTTTCAGTGTCTGCTCAGAAAGCTTCGTGACGACTGCGGATTGAAGCTGCTTTGGTGTCAGCTCACAGTCTTCCAACACACTGGAGCGTTAAATATATGAAGGGGGCTTTCACATTGACAGAAACATATGGCTTATGAATCAAGGAAGCTTTTTAATTCTATTTATTGTGAAGCACTTGTGACATTTCAAATAGAAAGGTGCTACACAAGCTACTTGTTACTGTTTAAGTAAGTAATTATGCAGACTGTGTGTGATTAAAACTAGAAGTGTGATAAAGTCAGAATTCTGAGGAAGACTAAACAACACGAAGCTGAGATCAACCATCACAGTTCAGAGATTTGGTTGAACAGACTGAGATTAAAGTGGATCCTAAAATCACACTCTTTAGTCTGAGAATACTGAGAATGCTTTTCACGTGGCCCTAATCAAAGCAGGCATGAGGAAGAAAATCATCAGAAATTCTATTTGCTTTCTTCATTTTCATGGTATTTTCAGAGACAGAGGAGCTGAGCAGGACAGGAAGAGATGAGTTTCACTTAAGAGCCCATGTGATTACAGCTAAATAGTGCTGCTTTTTAAAGGATATGAGTTCATTTAAAATATTAGTAGTGGGAACACAGAGTGAACCCAGAGACATCTCACAATAAACTGGAGCGACTGTTTTAAGAAAGACTGGACTGATAAATTTCAGTACTGAATAAAAACAATCACATCTATATGCAGTTTTTATTTAACTAATTTATCTAAAGCTCAACAAATGCAGCAGTATTTAAAATAGCTGTTTACCCAGCACTAAATAAACTTTTACTTTGCGTACCAAACAAAGAGTATACGATTAATATACGATCAATGCAACATAAGTAAAAACATGCACACAAAAATTAATTTAATATATAGCACTGTAATCAACTATACATGTATGAACTGGTCTGACATAACACGATGACTTAATATCTGACATAACAGCATGGGTGGCACCAGGCTGTGACATGCAGTAGCTCTCTGTGCACCAGCTCTGCTCCAGAATAAATCACCACATTCAGCAGGGATAACGCTCAGAGCAGAGGATCTGCAGGTCTTAAAAAGCATTTAATTCAGTTTCCTCAAAAAGGAAAAAGGCTTTAGAGGAATTCAGAAAATCTTAAATTGAATTTGTAGTGGTTTTAAAGCGGTCTGGTGTAGGCTGTTACTTTAGTTAAACATGTTTTCAAGAAAATGTTCAGTGCTAGTGGTACAGACCTCTGATCAGCCATTCACCCATTTTTTGTTGATCCACAGTGATTAAATAATAATAATATCAGTAAATGTTGTTACATCCTGCTGGGAGGGACTAAAATGTGATGTAGCTGTAATGATAAATAATTCTACACCATATTGTCCCAACTGGTTTTCACAGATATCCACAATGTATTGTAATACTATGTACAAATAGAGCAACCCCTTACACAAAGGCAGAAACACTGTCTAAACATTCAAATATGAACAAAGTGAACACAAA